GCATGAGAAATGTTGATTAGAAATACACTTACAGTTACATTTAATAACAAATTATTGATGAAAATATGTCAACATAATAAAAAAATGTACTCAATATTTGGGTGTGCTGTATATTTGCATGCTTTTGGCCGTACATGCGTATTTGTACTGAAGAAACAGACGTCACTGCCATTGGCTGCCAGTTAACTTTTTTTGGTCTGTCATTTGCATGAATTTGTGCAATTATAAATGTTTTGATGTGTGCATTATCTTGGCAACACACTGTATACCTGTGGTGTAAGTCACTTTTACAGTGGCCGAGAAGTGCAAAACAAATCACAATTCTAAAAACAAAATAACAAATTACAAACACAAATGCAAGTCTAAGAAACTAAATAATAATTCAGAAAACACAACAACAATTCAGAAAACATTATAACAAGCCAGAAAACACAATGACAAATCCGAAAACAAATTAACAAGTCAGAAAACAACAAATCAGACAAACCGGAAGAGGTAGGTATAGTTTGAGACAGCGCCATTGGTCTGGGATTACTCACCACTGACTGGACGAGACATCTGTCAATCAATGTATACAGGAAGAACCAGCCGAAGTACAGCAGAGTCGTGATAGAAAGTTCGGAGATGGTATTAAAGTAGCTCAGTTTAAATGTATTGTATGAATTTCCCTTACTATGGAATAAAAAATACGGTGTCTATTTACACTTAGTGCAAATAGCCCGCTTTGGCAGAGGCTATGTACAGTAATTCCGCCCTGCAACGTGTGATTGAGCTAGTCAACACTTTAAAAGTGGCTGTAAAATTCAGCTCCAGTGGCGCAGATGGATAAGCTTGTGCTATTGGCTATTTGATGTGATCGACCTGGGTTTGATCCCACCTTTTGCCGAATTTTTTTTTCCTCCCTTTTCAAATCTCGTATTAACAATGGATTCTATTTACACTAAGTGAAAATGGCAGTATTTTTAGCAATATGCTATTTAAACTGTGCAAATACCTATTTACACTATGTTAAAAATAGCAGGATTTCTATGTATACTACTTGTTGCAAATAGTGCCAATTATCTGCACTTCAGTATTGTAGTACATTATAAAACAGTATGCAATAATAACGTATTGTAAATTATAATTTTAATTTAAATTATTAAATGGATGCCACCTTATTGGTACAATAAAGCCCTCCCTACACTTACCCTAACCCTACCCAATACATTATTTTCAACTTTTTGATTATTTCCTTCATTTTTATTGAAAATAAATGCCTTTACGATGTGATACGAGATTTGAAAAGGGAGAAAAAAAAGTTTGGCGGGAAAGGTGGGATCGAACCCGGGTAGATCGAGTCAAAAAACCAACAACACACATTTAACCATCTACGCCACTAGAGCTGATTATGTACAGCTGCTTTTAAAGTCTTGACTAGTCCAATCACACGTTGGAGAGTGGAATTACTACCAACAAGGCGGGTTATTTGCACTAAGTGTAAATAGACACTCCGTATTTTTTTATTCCATAGTAAGGGCAATCATATAATACATTTAAACTGAGCTACTTTAATGCCATCTCCGAACTTTCTATCACGACTCTGCTGTACTTCGGCTGGTTCTTCCTGTATACATTGATTGACAGATGTCTCGTCCAGTCAGCGGTGAGTAATCCCAAACCAATGGCGCTGTCTCAAACTATACCTACCTCTTCCGGTTTGTCTGATTTGTCGTTGTGTTTTCTGACTTGTTATTTTGTTTTCGAATTTGTCATTGTGTTTTCTGGCTTATTATAATGTTTTCTGAATTGTTGTTGTGTTTTCTGAATTATTATTTAGTTTTTTAGACTTGCATTTGTATTTGTAATTTGTTATTTTGTTTTTAGAATTGTGATTTGTTTTGCACTTCTCGGCCACTGTAAAAGTGACTTACACCACAGGTATACAGTGTGTTGCCAAGATAATGCACACATCAAAACATTTATAATTGCACAAATTCATGCAAATGACAGACCAAAAAAAGTTAACTGGCAGCCAATGGCAGTGACGTCTGTTTCTTCAGTACAAATACGCATGTACGGCCAAAAGCATGCAAATATACAGCACACCCAAATATTGAGTACATTTTTTTATTATGTTGACATATTTTCATCAATAATTTGTTATTAAATGTAACTGGATAAATGTAAAAGTAAAGCAAATCTATGCTAAAAAATGTGGTACAAGACAGTGTTCAACATCAGCCACTTATGAGGATGCTAAGATTCAGAGAAAGTCATCATTCATTCAATAGTTTATAAGAAACGAAGAAAAAACTACTTTCACTGCCTATCAGTCTCCTACAGTTGGCAAGATATTTTGAAAGAATTCTGAGGCCTGAAGCTGGTTGTAATGCAGCACCCTGGTAGACAGTAATTATGGCAAGAGTATACTGTAATATTTTACATGAGAGATATGTGGGTCATGAGACTCATTTTTCTGTTATTGGGGGTTTCTGTGACTCATCGAAGAGTTTGATATACCAACCACTCCCTTTAGATTCTGATGATAAGATTGGTATTATGTGTGATGACTTTGCATAGTGACAAGACATTCATGATCTCAACCACAAGACAAACAATAGAGTTGGTTTCCTTCTTGGGGCCTTGGGCATCCTTCTTTTATGTTTCTGTTTTCTTTTGAGTTTGTATGATGTTGGAAAATTGTAATAAAAACCACACCAGTATTAAATCACAGTGGTCTAATTAAAGATTTGCTTTTAAGTCAACGATTAATGGTCTATTTGTAGTGATAGTGTCTGATCTAATACTGCAGACAATAGAAACTAGTGATGTCAATTTGTCAGGAAAATAAGAGAGAATAAACATGTTCAACAAAAAAAAGAACCAGAAAATGACGTAACACAGCATCTCAAGAAAGACATATTTTGTAGTCAAGACAATGACCACAGAGGAAATAAATGAAAATAGAAAATATCAAATAAACAAGCTGTAAATTATTATGTTCAGGTTTGATTTAACCAATCAAAAAACAATTCTGCGATTCGTAACCAAACTATTTTCATTGGTCATGCTGATATTCAGCACAACAGCAAGATTGCATGTGTGATGTTGATTTTGTGACATTTCAATAAACAAGACAAATTTTGAGTAACTGATTCAGACAAAATATGACCAAATATTTTGTTTATTTTTGCTCCATCAATGAAAATGTTTTGGTAAAAATTTTGGAATGGATCGGTATGTGGCAAACACAGACAAGCAGAGAGACAATGAAATGTCCCAGTGACATTGTACAAAATATCAGCAGTCTCTGAATGCAGCTTATCAAATCAGAAGACCAGAACAATACTCATTATGTTACAAAGGAAGTTCTTTATCTTCAGCCACCACAACACCAATAGATAAAAAATTTTAAGTTGTGCTACAATCTTTCACCCTCATCTTTTTCTCTCACGCACACTCTTTCTATCCACTGTAATCAATAAGTGTGTAATCAGTTTAAAGACCCAGGCTGGAGATAGCCAAACACTGACCACAGCACTCACAGTGAGGTTCAGTAAAGATCACTGGCGCAGCACGTCCACCGTCTGGCCAGCAGTCAGCCAGCATTACTACCTCCATATGCTCGGCATAGTGCCACTGAGGTCAGATCAAGGTTAAGTGAAAACTTCCCTATCAGCAAGTTAATAAAGCAGCACAGCAGCTTATATACGTAGCTTTAAGGAAACCACTTTTAAGGGTGCGATCCAAAATTGCTGTAAGTGGATAGAGGCAAACACATGCTTCTGCACAACACTTCTAGTGCTTCTACTTTAAAAAATACGTTTTTAATTAAAGACAAGTTTTAATATAACTCCAATTGGATTCGTCTGAAAGAAGAAGGTCATATGCACCTAGGATGCCTTGAGGGTGAGTACTTAATGGGCTAATTATAATTTTTGGGTGAACTAACCCTTTAATTTAGGCTTTTATTCACAACATTGTTGTTATTCTATAAATTAATCAACACTCATACATAGAGTGCATCAAATATGGCAAATGGAAATGCTTGCTTGACGCACAACAATAAATGTAATTTGTTCTTGCAGCTGAAATGTGCTTGCGAGAGATGTGAGAGCAAACCTCATTGGTTACTGCAAATCATGCAAGAAAGTTTGAGCTTACATTTACCATACTTGATGTGCTCTTTGTATGTATGTTGGTCAGTGTACATAAATGCCTAAATGAAATCTGTTCATCATATAAAGCAATTGTGTCTCCTCTTGTGTCTAACTTGGGTTAAACGGCTCGATTCATATTGATTTATTTTATGGTGTCTCCATAAACTTAAACCGTTTCATTAAAAATATCTTAATTTGAGTTTAAAAGATGAACAAAAGTCTTCTGGGTTTGAAACAACATGAGAATAAGTAAATGATGGAATTGTCATTTTAAATTAACTATCCCTTCAATATGCGGAGACAATTTTAGGTAAGATATTTGCAAGCTGATTTCAAAAAGTGTAAATACTTTGACTCTGTAGTGCTATCAAACCATTGGCATGAGCAACATTGGCTCAACCAATGCGATACCTTTAAATTTAGTAGTTTTTCCCCATTTCCCATTGGCTCAACCAGTGTGTGGGGCTGTGTATTTTTCATGTATTTAATGTATTTTTCAACCAATGGCAGAAGAGAGAATATGTTCAGGAAGCTTGTGTGTAGTCTTTTTTTGTCATTTATATTTGTAAATTCCACATATTACCTTCAAAAACTGAAATTATAAGGGCAGCAGAAGTGATATCGAGGCAACTGAGACAGTGTAATTGTGACATGACAGCTGCCCTTTAGAAAATATCCACCTGATACGTTCAGACACGCACAATTGTCTCTATAACAGATCAGAAAAACGTGCTGATTATCCAAGTGTCTTCCGAGCAATCTTTGGCTAAAGGTTTCTACAACACATGAAGTATAAAGAAATTATGTTTTCACCGGCAGCGCTCACTAAGCTGATAAATAAATGAGAGTTGTACTCACTGGCCATGCATATTTAAATGGAATAACAATTCGTCCATTTCTGCTGTCGCTTCCCTCGTTTCCATGGTGATGTAAGGTGTGGGAGTTGCTACCCAGGACAGATGTGATGCCAGTGCCATATGTACAGGTGCCGATTGGTGCAACCCGAGCCTGGTACTCCTTCAGACAGGCCTTGAAGAAGGTGTCACACTGATCAGCTGATGAGCAGCGCTGCCTCCCACTGGCCTGGGGGTCACAGCACTGACCACTCTGTAGAAAGCCCAGAGGGTTTAGCCATTGTCGAATTTGCACCTCAAATGTGCCCACCGCACACACAACCTATGGGAATTCAAAACAGCAAGGTTAAAACATGGAAGACAAACAGGAAAACTGAAGTGACAGAGTGCATGAAGTCATTAAGATGAGAAGCAGCACTTTCAGCCTCCAAAGTTGTTTAGAATTTAGATTCTCTCATGATGCTTGTTCATACTCTCCACAGTTACTGGCTTTCTGAAAACAGTTTTATCGCATCTGGATGTTGGCTGGTGCAGGTTAGAATATCAGTGCTGTTGTTGAGGCCAAAATATGATTGTAAAAATGTATCATATACCTTTATAATGTAAATTACAAGTATATTAGTAAACGGAAATGCTTAAAGCAGTGGTTCTCAACCACCAAATCTGGCAAAAACTTCAGAGCTCTCCAGGGTCAGTGCCAGAGCGGCGCCTGTTTCTGAATATTGATTGATATATGTAGACTACTAGTGTACATATGTAGATTATAAATTATAATTATAATTATATAATTATAATAAGTTATTTTCAGTGGAAGCAACGAATAAAACTGGAAAAACACAAACACGAAACTTGTAAATAAAATAATTTTATATATACAATTTAATAGCATATAGCCTAGTTGTATATATATGAATAGAGTGTTCGTCGACTGACTGCATGCCGTCAGAGTTTCCAGTGTTGACAGCTCCATAAAATAGCCTACTGGAAGCGCTGTAGTTTTGCTGTTTGAAGCTACTAAAAATATGAAAAGTACAACACACAAATAGCCTAACATTTTAAGTTACTTCCGTTTCTGAACAAAGAAATTAGTAATTGATATCATAAATAAACGAGCCTGATTTTTGTTTTAATTGTCAGAATTTATTGTACATAAAAATAAAAATAAATCACAAAACATTTGCAACCAAGACACAAGAAACAAGAACAAAGCCAGAAGTGCCGAATGTAAGCCAGATTTGGCCCAGATTCTGTTGTTATCTGGGAAGCCAAGCATTATGAATATTTGTTAACAGACAGTAAGAATTTTTAAACAATTAATCGTCTACTTTCGTTTGCTGCATGTTTAAAAAAAACATAAATTTTACGTTTTTTATTTTGGGGATTTTATTACATTCAGAAATAATAGGCTACCGGCCGGCCTAAAGCATAATGTTATAATGTACCAACAATATAAACATTATAAACCTAGGCTATATTAGTTCCCCTCACTCCACAACAAATCCTTTAAATTTAACCATATTCAGAATAGAACAAGAATTAAATAATATAATTCTAATGAATAAATATAATTGCAGTAGGGTAGAGTGGGGGAAAACGCCCCCCTTAAGGACTGTGTAATTTTTTTCTGTGAAACAAAAGTTAAATGTGTCCAGAATAGCTTTGCCCCAAAGGTGGTGTAAAATGCCCCCAGTCTGACAAAGCAATTTGCTTTATACATTTACAGCAAAACGTACAAGCAGTTTTATCTTCAAAATTAAAAAGAATATAATCAATAATTAAGAATTACAAAATTATAATAGCCTATTTGAAAAAAAATGTTAGCTGATGCTAACTAGCTACCTGATGCTAACTTGAGGCAATTTTTTTATTTAAAATCCAAATATGTTTATTCAACCAACTAGTTAGAATACATTTGATGGAAAAACAAAGGATTTGATGTTCAGAACAGAGTAACTACAGTAATTAAGCCATGCCCCCTGGGGGCCTTGTCTAGGTTTGAAAAAACAAAATGTCATTCTGAAAATATAATATTATTTTTCTTAAATAACACATACTCCCTGTCTACAGGCCTTACTATTCTCATATCATTTATAACTGTGATGTTCTACAAAACATCAAGCTTTAAAACACTTTTTTTCTTACTACTGAAAATTAAATCACTTAATGTGAAATCTGTTTTCTCTCAGGTACATCACCAGTGTAAGCTTCATGGTGAATACTTCTACATCACTCTTGTCAACATAGTCCATAGTTACAACAAAACATTTTTCTTGACTTTATCTAGTGCTTATTTTGGGGGAAAACGGCTGCGCTGTTTGCAATGAATATATAGCAGGCACACGAGTCGCCGGTGCAATCAAACAGCTGAAACAGTCAGTAAAGTGTTAGCAGTTTGAAGATTCAAGAATATTAGCAAAGATTATTACAATTCTTCATAAAGCGAACTCTCTTCTATTCTTAATAAGCTCTGGAACCTGAACGAAAAAATATTTTTGTAACAAACAAACTGAAATGAAAACATTTCACTTTTAATCCATGTATTTGACAGCCTACACCCACCCACTCCCCATCTCGTACTTCTGAGTGGGAGATCTTCCCAGGACAGTAGCCTGCCTCACAGACTAAAATCAGGGCACCCACTCCGGAGATGAGGGGGCACAGTGACTGAGGTGGCCAGGCCAGGCCCCTTGAGGCCCCTCCCTTTGTCCAAGACAAAATTTGAAGATACGAGTTTGTTGTAATAAAAATATAACTCAAAAATATGATATATATCAGTTTAAGGTCATTGTAATTGATGATTTTATTTGTTCCATGGAACACAAAATGAGACCATTTGTAGATAATAAGTGTACGTACAGACAAATGTGCATAAAATCGGCGCACAATTGATGAATAAATCATGATTCCCCAACTTTCTTACTAAAATATACAAAAATCACAAACTCTGGGTGGCCTTACAGTTGTGTTTAATTTTATACATATATATTTCATGTTAAATATATTATCACATAAAAGGTGCTTTAAAGCCCAAGCTGCAAAGTTCCTCTGAATAGAAACACAAACACGTGTACAATTGGCCAATAATAGGTTTTATTGTTTGAGCTAGTTTTAAGGATGGTATTGCAACTCTTAGAAGTCCTTGGAGTATACGTACATTCAAATATGGCACAGATGCTCAGCAGCAGTAGATGATGACAGAATTATCGTTTTTGGGAGAACTAAGACACGAGATTGAAAAGCACTCAACTGCATTACCACAAAAATAGAAAAGATGTGTTCATAAAACTGTGGTTGTATGAACATGGATGAACTTGCTCTGAGTAATGCTCAAAGGCCCTACTGTTTCACAAATAAAACATAACCTTCTGTTTTTTTACAGTTGATGAAGTTTCCTTCACATCCGACAACCTTCAAACAACACAAAACACAATCCTCACGAGACCCCATTCATCCAGACAGATAATGACTCTAGCAGTCTTTGTATCTGAAGGCAGATAAAGACAGAAAGAACAGACGATAACATTGATTCAAAGCGAAATCCCTGTCTAAATGGACAGCTACAGTCCTCTTCTGTGCTGTAATCACCCTCTTCATCTGCATGTTCACTTAACTTCATTACCTTCATCTTCTCCCCGCAGGTTATTTACCTCCTCGTGTCTTGCCTTTCTCTCACGCTTTCTCTCCTTACTCCCTTGTGTTAGTTACTTCCTACACTTCAACCCCTTGCTCTCTGTTTTCCATTCTTTCTCTATATCAATACCTCTCCCTTCTTTTCTGTTCCTCTCTCCCCAGAGGGGAACACATTTACAACGCAGCTCCTATCTTGCCCTCTCTGTCGTTCTTTTTTTTTTCTTGACTTCTTTTCACCTGGGAACAGATCTCTCCTTCTTTCATCATGATGTTCAGACTTTCCTGTCTTCATTGTTGCCATTATTTTATTCATCTCTCTTTTTGGCATAAAGGAGAAGAGAACACGCGTACACACACACAAATGGGATGGCTGGGCATTTCAGGTTCTCTGAGCAGGGCACAAAAAAAAAGATTTCCCAGAGAAAAACCTGTAAAATCCAGTGTGTTTTATCAAAACTATTGCAAACTATATACAGTTTGGTATAGAAAAGAATCGCCCTCCATTAAAATAATCAAATTGTGTTGCTTTTCAGCCTGAAATAAAGATGGACAGTTTTTGTTTTATCCAGCTGTATTTACTTAGTGCAACTTATAACATCCAATTTAAAGATATAACACCAACATGTCTGAAAAAATAAATTAATTATCAGAATCACTGACTTGGAAAAAGGATCACCTCCTTGTGTCAGTATTTTGTTGAACCACTTTTTGCTTTAAAGGGGTCATATGGTGCGATTTCATGTTTTTCTTAGTCTTTGGAGTGTTAAAAGCTGTTTGTGCATACAGAAGATCCGTAAAGTCACAAAGACTAAAGTCTCAAACCCAAAGAGATATTCTTTATAAAAGTGAACGCTCAGCCATGCCCTCGTTCAAACACGCCCCCACATGTCTACGTCACTGTGTGGAAAGATCTGCATAACACCACACAAATGTTCACGTAACTTTTATTCTCTCTATAGTATTGTTGCTGCCGCCACCATGTCGTGGAGACGCTGTGTGTTTCGTTGCGAAAGCCAAACTACTTTGTTTGGCCTTGTAGGACACAACCACTAATCAGTGGTTAATTTTTATTTACAACACTGTTCCAGAACAGTACAACCCAAATATTCTAGTGTGTGCAGCGCATTTTATGGAGGAGAATTTCCTGAACCTGGTCAGGGGCACAACATTTCCGTCACACACTTGAAGTATTCAGCCAATCACAACGCACTGGATAGTTGGCCAATCAGAGCACACCGCGCTTTTCAGAACGGTGAGCTTTGTAAAAATCGACGCATTTCAGAAAGGCGGGGCATAGAGGAGCAACAATAATGTACAGTATGTGGAAAATAATGTTTTGTTTTTTTTACCTTAAACCGCGTAAACACATTGCATTACACCAAATACACAAAATAATGTTCTTTTTAGCAACTTCATATGACCCCTTTAATTACAGCCTTTAGTCTGTTGGGATATGTCTCCACTAACTTTGCTAGTGATATGTCTCTACTAACTTTAGCCCATGATTTCTGCACATATGCAATATTACTGCAGGTGCAACAGATTATTTTTAACTGGCCCAGTTGGGCCAGTAGTTCTGTACATTCCTTTATCTAGCCACAAATATAATCAATAATAATAGCAGTAATAAAAATATAATGACATTTGCAAGTTAGCAACATTTTTGCAAGCATCACCAAAAAAAATGATCTAGACTGCAATATTTGCCCACTCTTCTTTGCAGAACTGCTCAAGTTCAGTTAAATTTGATGGTGACTGTTTGTGGACTGTAGTCTCAAGACATTACACAGATTTTCAATAGGCTTTAAGTCTGTCTAATTCCTGTGGCTCAGTGGTAGAGCATTGCATTAGCAGCGCAAAGGTCGTGGGTTCAATTCCCAGGGAACACACATACTGATAAAAAATGTATAGCCTGAATGCACTGTAAGTTGCTTTAGATAAAAGTGTCTGCTAAATGCGTACATTTAATATTATATATATATATATGATACATACAGGTGCATCTCAATAAATTAGAATGTTGTGGAAAAGTTAATAAATAATTTTAACATTTATTTTAAGCCCTAAAGATGCACACACAAGAAAAATCCCAATGTGCATCACACACTCTCTCCCACACAAATAAACACACACACTGATTCTCCTGTGAATACGACATTCCAAGCCAGGTCAGACAGTAAGACTCTGCGGTGCCTGTCCTCTCCCCGTGACCCCACGTTTGAGCAGGACTGCTGAATGGCTGTACTATCCTCCCATTGTTCCATCATGGCATGTTGTCCCATTCCTTCTCATAAAACATGGACACATCAAACACTCGGCAGATAGACCCCCGGCCATCATTCTCCATCTCTCTTTCTTCCTCTCCCTCTATCCTCTGCCAGGGTCATTCCCAACATACCTGTATTTCAGCGGTCTCTCTTGTGGAGCTGCATCACAGGGCTCATTACTGAGACATTAAAACCCCACAAAGACTCATGCTGAACTCCTGCCATCCAACATCAGAAACAAAGACATGCTGCTATTTTAAGCAAAAATCATTTGTGCATAACATAGGCTATTTACTGTCCATTTTTGAGGGGGAAGCTACCCATTTTAAAGACATGGATTGACTAACTGTTAAATTATTATTATCTAACTATACAAAAGGTAACCCTTATCTGTTTTATTCTCCATAACTGATTTAGGTGTTTAACCAGGAATCATCCTTAATTTCACTTTTTAATATGAAAGGCTGTACTGTTCAAATGGCTATCCTTCAACTGTTAATGAACAACTGCTACAGTCCACAATCTGAGTACAAGACAGTATCCTACAAAGCACTGAAAACACAGCTGGTCTATCTGACACATTACTGCCCTGCTTCTTTAGCCCATGATTTCTGCACATATGCAATATTACTGCAGGTGCAACAGATTATTTTTAACTGGCCCAGTTGGGCCAGTAGTTCTGTACATTCCTTTATCTAGCCACAAATATAATCAATAATAATAGCAGTAATAAAAATATAATGACATTTGCAAGTTAGCAACATTTTTGCAAGCATCATCAAAAAAATTTTTTTCATTGCAATTTTACATTTTCTTTTCGTTTTACAAAAAGAGCTATAATGTAACTCCATGATATTCATTCTTAAACACACCTTTTCTAGAAACAATGGCATGAGGTTTTTTTTATTATATATTATATTATATTATATTATATATATTTATTAATTACTTATATTTATTACACAGTATAATCTTAAAGGTTTAGAGATTTTATATATATATATATATATATATATATATATATATATATATATATATATATATATACATACATACATACATATACATATATATATATATGTATATTTACCATAGTGATCATAAGATATTTCTTTAAAAAAAAAACATTGTAAAAATTGTACCAACTGAAAGCATAGTGTATTTCATATTCATATACTAAGTTATTCTCACAGTTTCAACAAACCTCATCTTTGTTAGCCAGCTGTAACCTTGCTACATATACAACAGGTTGCATTAGCTAGGGTAATATCCAATATGTGACGTAATTAAATTAAAAAATATATAAAAACTGTATTACAGATATCAACAACAATATTCAAATCAAATCTAAATGTTTGCAAAACAAAAACACATTTTCATGATTGATGAACATAAGATTCATAAGAAAGTGCAGTGCCTGGATAGGTCAAGTGACATTTCTGTCAACTGGCCTCAGGCCACGGGGCCATCCTGATTTGTTGAGCCCTGTTATTTATAGCCCAACTAACAATACAAAGCTGCTGATCACTTCCCTCCTCATCTCTTTTGACAATAACATAAAATCATAAAAAAATTATTCTCCCTGTAGAACGTTCTGCAACATACAGGCTTTAGATTTTCCAAGAACCATCAAAGCATTTAAAAACCAAAGTTCATACTGCAAAAATGACAGAACCAAAACATTAGCCTTTCTCACACGCCCTCGGTGTCAGGACAGGTATGTTCATCCAGCAGCAACCCGCCAGAACACACATGCATGTTCTGCACTCAAAGGGTTCTCATCCCCAGGATCTGCCCTCCACAGCAGGTGAGGTCTCATCTCCACCGCAGACCAACAACCCAAGCGGAGACCTCAAAGCCTGGAATAATAGGGTGGCTGGGGTGGGATGTGAAGCATTGGGAGTAGATTCAGAAATGATTTGAATTTGGTTTTAATGCCAAATGGTTTTAAACAGAGCAGGCTTCTTTATCAAACCATAACAGAGATTCATATTTTGAAAATAAAATGATGATATGTGTTCTCTAAATACAGCTAAGCCATTTGGGTAATACAAATGGATCAGCATAATTAGAGTCGCTGAATGTTTTCTGGGAATGCAAACAAAAGCAAAATCACACGCCCACGAAGAGACCCATTTCTCTAGCTATATAAAATCTCCATGACCGCTACTTTACTGCTTGATGTAAACATAATGAAATTAAGAATAAGCCTCGCTCCGAACAGAAAAACACTGCAATGTCCTCATTTATACTGGAGCAAAATGATACTTTCTTGTACAAATAAGCCCGTGCGCCAAATATGTTGAGCCTTGTTTTTCATTTCTCCAGTTTCAGAGTAAACAGTCTTAAAGACAAAGCTTTACAATAACAAACTGTCGTGTGCGTCAGATATATTGTTGCAAATAAACCATAGCTGACATGAGACTTTAATATCTGCATGAAAAACGAGGCAACACGCCCAAAAGAGCGACAAGTGCAGCGCGCAACAAAGAAAGAAGGAACAACAGGTGGCCGCAGACGGTAACAGCTCAACACTGGTCTCTCATCCACAAAGGTGTAAAACGGAATTATGGGGGGGTTCCACACCCCTCATTCAGGGTTAAACCTCCTAAATAACGGTGAAGAAGCAGGCTGGGTGTGTATCGGCTTTTAATACAATTTCAACAATCGCAAAAGTTTGCAAATTAGTCGGAAATTGCTAAATGTGTTCGTTGGCGAACAGAAATCGTCTTTGATTGAGGAGGTAACCATAGCAACAGCTAAGCGGTCGCCGTCTGTAACGGACGGTATCAACAAAAACATAATTACTGTTATTACTTGTCACGCTATTAGGCTACACAAATGTATCTCATAATTCGTTCAGATTTGTTTAATAGGTTTACGCTTAGTGTCTGTTTGCGCGAGATGAACCTCAGCCTTCTGCGCCCAGAAAAATGACTGACAGAAATTGTTTTAAAAAGTTCAGCTGCCTGAAAGCCGCTTAATGATTCGCACGCTGGTAAGAACCACTTGTAAACAGAACTAAAGAAAGAACAACACTGCCCTAAATAAGGACCGAGGATTGTCTGTGTAAAGCTCTGGAGAGAAAACAACCGTGGGAAGAAAAAAAAAGTCAAATCGGGCTGAAAATAGCAGCGCATGATCGGCGGCTTACCTGCGGCTGCAGCGCGAGCGAGAGCAGGAAAACCACGCTCCAGTGCTGTCCGCGCTCAACAGCCCTTATCATCGCCCTACCAGCACTCCTCCTGTCCGTACTCGATCTCTCCCAGGAGTGCCAACTCTTTCGGTCTCTGTCCATTCTCATAGCAGACATTTGCGCACTTGTTCTGTGCGTACGGAACAGCCTTTCCCTGTTTGGTGACGCTTTCTTTACACTGGCCATGTGTCCATCATGAAGACACAGCGGGAAAACGAGTAAGTAAATGTGGCACAGGAAAATGATAAAACCCCTGAGATCTTTCCACACTCCGAGTCCAGGGTGCTTCCTCCTCCTCCTCCTCCTCTAGCTCTTCCTTCTTCCACCTGCTACAGTTAAGAAGCTTTGAATGTTCGACCTGCTGACCCGACTTGAGCTTTCATCCCATTTACTTTCCCACTCACTTAAAGCAGCTATTTTCTCTCTCGTCAGCCGGATAGGCTTTGCCGATGCCCTCCCAAAGCAAAGCGTTGCAAAGGGCGAGCGAAGAGAGCGAGACTGCGCATCACCGTGGGAAGCACTGGTGGTAAAGTTGCCAGTAGAGGGTGTGTCCTCCGCCTGGGAATATCCGTCACCTGTCTCTAACTTGAATATAATTGAGTCATATTTGTCTGTTACAAACTTAAGTAGCTTGGAAACATATGTCTAAATTATTTTCATGTAGCCTAATGTCAGGAGTGCTGCTGTTAACCCAAAATACTGTAACACTAATAGAAAACGTTTAAAAATCAGTGTCTGAATTTATTGTGGTAATCAAGTCACCGTCCATTTAGCCTGCATCCAAAAATGAGTCGATGATAAATTAAATAAAACTGGACACAATCACATGTAGCACAAATAGATAAACATAACAACTCTAAAAACCCATCACAAAATGAGTGTCAAATACACTGTCATTCTGTGCTTTGAGTCCATTTTTTTGTGTGAATTGTGACCGTTTTACAATCCTCCTCGTAAATGATGATAATATGGTAAGATCTGCAAGTATTAAAAAAAGCAGCCCTGCTTGGCAGAAAAAAAAAATCTTTTTTTTCCTCTTTGTTTGTTTCTACAGATGGACACGGAGACTTTAAGAGTTTTCAACCAAAAATGAAAAACCTGTTTACTCACCCTCACGTTGTTCTTCATTTGTGTTTTGAAGATAACCAAAGTCTGATGGAGGGTGACTAAATGATGATTATGATGATTTCCCTGAAAAATGAAGCTTTTTCTTTTCTTTTCTTTTCTAAGTTACTGCAAGTTCATCTGAAATGTGAGTGGCTTTTTTCAATGGCACATGGATGTTAAATTTCTTGGATGAACGTTCTATTCTGGAATGTTATGCTTTTATTAGCAATGCCGTTTTAAAGCAGTTTTCACTATTAACTGTTGTACATTTTTCCTCAAATGTCTATGCAATGTGCCACGAATTCGGTCCATGGACTTCCGTTTATTCACCACCAGAGGTCACCCTTTCCATTACATTGACTCTGGCACAACACAAACTGTTGCATAGCACCCCGGACTACATATCCCATCATTCATTGCACAGTTTGCACACTGCACTGATTGCACACAGCTGTTTCCTATCACCTCACTCACTATATAACACCCACTCAAACCACCATTCTCTGCTGAGTATTGTTTAGCCTGTATCCCTTTCCGAGTCTCTGTGGTTTCCTTGTTTTGCCTTGCCTGTTTTCCTGGATTTCTTCCTCTCGTCTCGCCCCTGTGATTCTGTGTGCCGATCGGTGACCTACGCTAGCCCTAGGACTATTCTTGTGTTTTTGCCCGCCATATACCTGTTTGCCATTGTTCGACCCTGCCTGTTATACCACGTCTCTTTAATAAAAGCTTGCAGATGGATCCACACGTCTCACGTCTCGTCAGCCCCGTTACACAATGCTAACAGTGGAAATTATGCCAATGAGTGTTGAAGATTTCACTGTGATGTAGTAAACATTTTAAAATGTTCGACTCTCAAGAAGTGTAAAAAGCTTCATTTTTTTTCCAAACAAAAATTCAGTGGCATTTAGTAAAATCACATTCTGAAGGGGAAGAAATTGCTTACCATTTAGATTTGTATTTTTCAGGATATTTGATTTTAAAATATGTAAAAAAAAAAATTGTTAATTCAAATAGATCTAGTGATAATTTGTGATCTAATCATTTAAAAAATATATTTGGTTGAAAGTGAATTTTTAGTTTCAGTTGACTATAGAAATTTGATTTTGTCAAACATATTTTTTTTTTAGTTGAGAAAAAGTAAACCGATTACTTGTAACAAGTTGAAGCAATTGTTTTACTTTGATCCAACAAAACGTTCTTTTTCCAGTGTAGTTTTAACATCTCAGCTAACAAGGAACGTTCTCAGAACTGTGCCTATATGGCAAGATTCTCTCTAAGTTCAAAGTTATTGTCAAATCATTAGCATAAAAATTTTATTTATACATTATTAATTTAACGTTTTTTTTTTCTGAACAGTTTTAGTTTAATTTGCCTTTTCTGAAGGTTACTATGGGTTCAGAACGTTCAGAGAACATTCAAGTAACATTCATATATTGTTTGAAAATCGAATCTTCCCACAAATACTTTAATGGGAACATTTGCAAAAGAAACAAAATAACATTTTGTTTGCTGGAATGTAGATAAAAAGCTTGTGTGGATACATCAAATTAAACAGTCCTGTCATTTCACATGCATTACCAGGAGTCAGAGAATCATTATAAAATCATGTAAAAAAGAAAAAGTACTTTCATAGCTTAAAATTGGGGGTTGTCCTTTGGGTTAAAACCTTTATTTATATATTATATCTTTATATTTTACTTGCACCTTCTACTGTCACCTCAGGAAGGTGCTGGTCATATAATGCTGATTTCCAAACTGGATAAACTGATGCGGTTCAGCTCCCTGTATTACAACACTTGGTCTTTATGCATACATATGATGCATAAGGTTAATCTCAACAGCCCAGCAACACTTCTATTTTGATACAATTATAGTTTATAAATGACAGAGAAAGACCCATACCACAAACAAGATCACTCCGATTCTACAATGATATGCCTGTCCTTTTTATGAAGTCACCGTATACAGTTATCAATTGTAACAAATAAATTGTGAAACTACCCTATCCCATAATGCACTGGTCTGGAAATTCTCAGTAGGGCTTCTTTTCATGTGTACTCCCATGGCAGTTCTGGAATAATAGGTCTCAAGCTTCACTTGATCTCTGAGCATGATCAAAGTGCTGCGGCACCAATTAAAAGACCCCGTCAGAGGCCAGACAATAGCCAGACAGAGGCTGTTACATTCAATACTCATGCACTTTTACATTACCGCCAGCTTGTTATCACATCATATAGGCTAAAAGTGAAAGTGGCATGCTTTCTCGGACTTAATCATTAGGTCGGGTGAGGACAGAGCAATAAACCTAGAACCCATTTTTTCCCCAGAGGTTTGGATGCCAAATAGTGTTTGTGGGGCCCTATTGCACCCAAAATGACTATGGATGTTTGAACATTTCACAAAGATGGAATATTTTTGTGTTTACAGTAAGATTTGTTATTGAGGACCACACACATTGCGTGTGTAGGCCTACTGCTTTCTACAGTTCTACATTGCTGAAGAAAAACATGAAAAATGAAATAAAAACGAACCAGTTTCATTTCTGGAGTCTTTTTATAGAAATAACAACTAGTGACTAGTCTGGTTTGTTTACTGGTTTTATATGGGGTTTGACCACTTTTCAGCTGATCGGGCATCATTTTAAACCAGGTCCGCCTATAAACCGGACATCTGGAAATTAAACGCATAGCCTGCATATCAGCATAATTTCGCTGCTTTCCAGATCTCCATAACGGGGACCAGAGTGAACTTTCCACTGTGTAGGCATGGAGGCAGCTACTAGGCTACAACACAAAGCATCCGCTTTATGCTGAAAATATAATGAGCCGATTTTATTGACCCGATCCTGTTTCCTCCCCCCATTCGCGACGGGATGGACTAGTTGCTGACGCGCACATCCCTGGAAACCGGTTATTTCCCCAAAGTAGAGTGACCCGTGGTCAGAACAGAGGGCTCTT